TTAGTAGAGACGGGGTCTCGCTCTTGCTCAGGCTGATCTCGAACTCCTGAGCTCAAACAATCCGCCTGCCTCGGCCTCCCAGAGTGCTAGGATTATAGGCGTGAGCCACCGCGCCCGGCCCTCCCAGCCTGTTTTGATCAATTTTTAAAGCCTAGTGTATTAGGTCCCTGGCAAAAAAAGACTGCACTTAGCTTTTAAATCAGAAATGAGAAGGTATTTCGCTTGGAGGGAAGTTAGCTGCTCGTTTCTTGAAGTGAGTTCAGACACCAGTCTCCGTGGGAGCCACCTTGCCAAAGTACTGTTCAGTTCTTTATAGTTGGAGCAAGTGGCTCTGTTGGTCAGCCAGCCTATAGTGGCATTACACTAGCAGGGGCTAGGATTTTGAACACTTTTGCAGTCACATTTCTGATCAAATTCTACTCTCCTGCAAAGGTTCCTGGTTTGATAGAACCTTTGGAATATTTTCCTTGTCCTTTCATCATTCCCAGGGAATTGAGAGAACTGTTTAAGTTACTCAACTCTATTAATTCTCAGAGGGGTTTTGGTCTCTCCTGTAAGGAGTTCAGAACCAGGCCTTCCCAATGGGTTGCCATGCTGGTTTGATTTTTAGACCTGGCTTGGTATATCTGGTCTCCCATCTGTGCTAGGGCTACCTGTGAATTTTGCCATGCTTTAATATCGTAAGTCATCTTGTTTAGAAGCAGTTCTTCCGTGGATTGATTGGTGAGGTTGGTTACCCTATCTTGAACCTTTCTTGTCATCTGTAAGTCGTTCTCACGGTGGCCATGTTATTTTGGCTTCCATTTTGGGGAAGGTCAAAAAATGAGATTTCGTTGGGACAGCTTTTTGGGGTCAGTTATTATTCTTGAGTTATAGTCTTATCTTTGCCCCTTACTTTAATGTCTTAGGTAAGTCAATTCCTTGGTTTTAGTCTCCTCTGTAAAGCAAGGATTACTTACAGACTCTAAGAGAGGGACAGCTGTATAGTTTTTGGGTGTGAAGTGTTTTGTGACCTGATAAATGTCCAACTTCTCATATGGTATTTATGCTCTGGTCAGATTCCAGGGATGTGACTATACCAGCTGTCAATAAACTTTGGCCCATGAGTCAGATCTGATCCATGGCCTGTTTTTGTGTGGCTCACAAACTAAGAATGTTTTTATATTTTTAAAAAGTTATAAAAATCAAGAAAATGAGAAGACAAGTCACAGATTGGGAGAAAATATTTGCAGAAGACATATCTGAAAAAAGACTGTTACCTAAAATACACAAAGAGCTCTTAAAACTCAACAATTAGAAAATAAGAGCAATCTGATTAAAAATATGTATAAAAGATCTGAACAGATACCTCACCAAAGAAGATAACACAGATAGCAAGAAAGGATATGAAAAGATGTTCAACCTCGTAAGTGATTAGAGGCTGGGTGTGATGGCTCACACCTGTAATCCCAGGACTTTGGCAGGCCAGGACAGAGGAGTACTTGAGGCCAGGAATTCAAGACCAGCCTGGGCAACAGAATGAGACCCTGTCTCTACAAAATTTTTTAAAAAAATTACCTGGGTGTGGTATCACATGCCTGTAGTCCCAAATACTTGTGAGGCTGAGATAGGAGGATTACTTGAGCCCAGGAGTTTGAGGTTGCAGTGAGCTATGATGAAGCCTCTGCAGTCCAGCCTGAGTAACAGAATGAGACCTTGTCTCAAAAAAAAAAGAAAAAAAAAAGTCATTAGCAAATTGCAAATTAAAACAACAATGAGATACCACTATACACCTATTAGAGTGGCCAAAATCCAAAACACCGACAACACCAAATGCTGACAAGGATGTGGAACAACAGGAACTCTCATTCATTGCTGGTGGGAATGCAAAATGGTACAGCACTTTGGAAGAAGTTTGACAGTTTCTTACAGAACTAAACATACTCTTACCATATGATCCAGCAGTCACACTCCTTGGTATTTACCCAAATGAGCTGAAAACTTGTCTGCACAAAACCCTGCACACAAATGTTTATAGAAGCTTTATTCATAATTGCCAAAACTTGGAAGCAACCAAGATATCCTTCAATAGGTGAATGGGTAAACAGACTGTGGCATATCTAGATGATGGAATATTATTCAATGCTAAAAAGAAATGAGCTACCAAGCCATGAAAAGACATGAAGGAAACTTAAATGCATGTTACTGAGTGAAAGAAGCCAACCTGAAAGTGCTATGTACTGCATGATTTCAACTATGTGACATTTTGGGAAAGGAAAACTATGAAGACAGTAAAAAGATCAGTGGTTGCCTAGAGTTGGGGGGAGGGAGAGATGAATAGGCAGAGTGCAGGATTTTTAGGGCAGTGAAAACTCTCTGTAAGTTACTACAATGGTGGATACATGTTATACATTTGTCAAAACCCACCAAGAGTAAACCCTAAATGTGAACTCTGGACTTGGGTGATAATGATGTGTCATCATAGATTCATGAGTTACAACAAATGTACCACTTTGGAGGGGATGTCATGCATATGTGGGGATGGGGGTATATGGGAACTTTCTGCATTTTCTACTCAGGTTTTCTGTGAACCTAAAACTTGTCTAAAAAGTAAAAAGTTTATACATTAAGGAAAAAAGGTTGTCAAAACAAAGAAAAATGAGCACCAGAGACCATTGCCTACTAAGGCTAAAATATTTCTTGTCTAGCCTTTTGCAGAAAAAGTTTGCCAAGCCCTGGACTATATCACAGTGGAACTAGAAGATGACGTGTTCAGTAATGCCCAGTCCTTTAGTTCTCCTGGGCATTCATTGTCTCTAATGGTAAAGTTGTTCTTATGAATTTCTGTTTCATTTGCAGGTATATGAGTGACCTAAAGCTGCAAATAAAGACGGAGAGAGAGCAGTGCCAACTGGGAACAGGGCAAGGATGCCAATTCCTCCTCCCCCTCCACCCCCACCTGGTCCTCCCCCCCCTCCCACTTTTAATCAGGTAGGTAGTCCTTCCATCAGGCTATCTCAACCTTTTTTCTTTTTTTAAATGGAGACAGGGTCTCACTGTGTCACCCAGGCTGGTCTCAAACTCCTGGGCTCAAGTGATCCTTTTGCCTTAGCCTCCCAAGTAGCTGGGACTACAGGTGTGCATCACCACGCCTGGCTTCTATCTCAAAACCTTTGAGTAAATAGATTAATGCCCTCACAAACTGTTTCTTTTATCCCTTTTGGTTAAAAATTCTAGATTTTCCTACCCATAGCATTCTTTTTTTTTTTTTTTTTTGAGACAAGAGTCTCGCTTTGTTGCCTGGGCTAGAGTGAGTGCCGTGGCGTCAGCCTAGCTCACAGCAACCTCAAACTCCTGGGCTCAAGCAATCCTTCTGCCTCAGCCTCCCGAGTAGCTGGGACCACAGGCATGCGCCACCATGCCCGGCTAATTTTTTCTATGTATTTTTAGTTGTCCAATTAATTTCTTTCTATTTTTTTTAGTAGAGACGGGATCTCGCTCTTGCTCAGGCTGGTTTCGAACTCCTGAGCTCAAACAATCCACCTGCCTCGGCCTCCCAGAGAGCTAGGATTACAGGCGTGAGCCACCGCGCCCGGCCTCTGTGTTTTTTTTTAACACTTAAATTTTATAATTCAGCTAGAATTTGTTTCAGAGTAAACTATGACGTAGGGATTTAACTTTATTATTTTTCCCCCAAGTTAACTAATTGTTATTAACACTTTATATTTAATAATCTAACTGTTCTGCACTGATGAATTACATATTTATTATTTCTTTTATAAAGCTGGGCCTGCTTATGGACTTGGTGTTTTATTGCATTTATCTAGTTACCTGTCCCTGTGCTCCTGTTGTAGTTGGTCCTAGCTTTTGGTGGTACACGTCCCATTTTCTTAGTTTTTCTCATATGCTTAATCTTCCAGATGGATTTTGGAATCATTTGTAATGGCTTCCAAAAAATTCCATATTTAAAAAGCTCTACGCTTATAAATTGTATAAGACTGAACAAATATATATTGAGTCTTCCTATTCAGGAACATGGTATCGATGTGTTGCATTTTAGGTACATGAAGGATATTCATTTGGAGATGTTCTGTAGGCATTGACATATATGGATGTGAAGCTCAGGTCAGAGAGGAGGGGACGAGATACAAAGGTTTGAGATTTTGGGCATCTAGGTGGTATTCAAATCCTGGGACTGCATGGGCTTGCTCATTATTTAGATAGAGACTGAGGGTAATATTCTGGGAAATGACATTTAAGAGGTAGGTGGAAGATGAAGGACCTGAAAAGAAATGCGATGTGTTGGAAGAGGCAGTAGAGAGACTAGAAAAGGCATGGGGCTTTGAGACAATCATGTCAGCATTCAAATCTTGGCTCTTGGTTTACTAATCATGTGACATTAGCTAAACCTTTATTTCCTCATCTTTGGAATGAAAATAATATAGTCTATGTAATAACATAGTTTAGAGGATAAATCGAAGTTATAGGGAGACAGTAGGATATGTTAGATGAGATAAGATAGGTGTTTTAGAGGCATCATTGAGGTTGGATTCTTGCTGTACTGTTTCCTAGTTGCATGACCTTGGGAAGCTATTCAGCTTTTGGCCCACACTTTACAAATGGGGGTAATGATAGTAATACCTTTGTTATAGGAATATTTCAAGATTTAAATGAGATAGTGCAAGTAATGTGCTTAGCACAATGCCTGAGGCATAATAGGGATTCAATAAATGTTTGCCTTGATGATGACGATATGAATAGTGTCTTACACACAAAGCCGAGCGCATGGATAACTCAGTAAGTGTTAGCGTAGGCCTCCCATCAGAAGCTTCTGGATAGGAGGAAGACCTATATCCTTCACAGAAGGTAGAACAGGACAAAAAAAGAGAACCAGAAGAATGATAATGCACATTGGTATTGCTATTTGGCACATGTATCTGATGAGTTCAGATAGGCATCTCATGGAATCTGGTTTGGTTTAAGTCATTTATCCCACGCTTGTGATGAAAGGAACTATTTAGGGTGAATGTACATTTCCCTCTTCTTTCAGGCAAACACAGAGCCGCCCAAGCTGAGTAGAGATGAGCAGCGGGGTCGAGGTGCCCTCTTACAGGACATTTGCAAAGGGACCAAGCTGAAGAAGGTGACCAACGTTAATGATCGGAGTGCTCCCATCCTCGAGAGTGAGTCTAAGCTTCACTTCTAGTGAACCAGTAGGATCCCAAGATTGCCTTGGAGACTTGGCTGGGCTGTCATTTTTATTGTTGGGGCTTGATGGGAGAGTTTTGTCCTGGGATATCCTTTGGCTCTCTTCCCATTTGTTCATTTGAATACCTTAGAAGTTTTTTCTTGACCCTTGGGAAGCATTCTCAGGGTTAAGATGACCATCTCCTACTGTAACTGATGCTTATTAGGGCATAATCATGGCTGTTTTTTGAGGAGACTACCACATTCCTAGAAATCCCTGGGCTGAAGCCAAGGACGGTTGTATAATTGCTACAAGTGTCCATTCTTGTAGGCCTCTGGAGAGTTTGCTCACCCCTGGGTTCCTGAGCCGTTAGCCCTCTGCCATCTGGAGAGGCAAACCCAGAGAACTGTGTTGAACATTTCTTTTTTTTTTTTTTTTGAGACAGAATCTCACTTTATTGCCCTGTCTAAAGTGCTGTGGCGTCACCGTAGCTCACAGCAACCTCAAGCTCCTGGGCTCAAGTGATCCTCCTGCCTCAGCCTCCCAAGTAGCTGGGACTACAGGCATTGCCACCATGCCCAGCTAATTTTTTCTATTTTTAGTGGAGACGGGGGTCTCACTCTTGCTCAGGCTGGTCTCAAACTGCTGAACCTCAAGTGATCCTCCTGCCTCAGCCTCCCAGAGTGCTAGGATTACAGGCATGAGCCACTGTGCCTGGCCTGTTGAACATTTCTTTAACCTAGTTATCACTTTGCCCTAAATAAGGGAAGACTGGCTCCTTGTTCTTTTTGTTCTTTCATCACAGCAAAGTGTTTCATCCCTGCATGAAGCTGTGGAGCAGAAGGGCCTAGTTTTTTTTTGTTTTTTTTTTTTTAATAGAAAGGCAAAAACAAGATTGGTTTGTTTGCAAATTATAGCCCAGATAGAGGAGGGGTTTCTCTTCAGGATTGACTTGGCCACCAGCTCAGAGCACATGAACTGAAAACTCTAATGGTGTGCTTTCCAGAGCCCAAAGCAAGCAGTGGCGGTTATGGCTCTGGAGTAGCTGCCCTGCAGCCCAAGGGAGGGCTCTTCCAAGGAGGAGTGCCGAAGCTTCGACCTGTGGGAGCCAAGGACACTTCAGGTACCCAATAAGTACTTTCTTAGGATATTTGCCAAGCATATTAATTTCTGAATTGTCCCAAGTGGGCCATCTCAGGTTGAGGAGTGTGGTAGAGGTGGGAGGAAGGAGGAGGGGCACAGGGGAGGAGTTAGAGAATAGAATAAAGCAAAAGGTGAGGGATTAAATAAAAATGTATTCAACTTGGATAAAGAAAATGTGGTATATGAATACTATTATACTGCGAGTGTATGTATGTATTATACTACGAGTATAATAGAATACTATTCAGCCTTAAAAAAGAAGGAAATTCAGTCATTTCTGACAACATGGATGAACCTGGAGGACATTATACTAAGTAAAATAAGCGAAGCAAGCACTAAAAGACAAATACTGTATGATCTCACTTATACTTGGGATCTAAAACAGTCAAATTCATTCATAGAAGTAGAGAGCAAAATGGTGGCTTCCAGAGGCCGGGGGAGATCGGCAGTGGGGATGGAGGAAGGGGAGATGTTGGCCAAAGGGTACAAAGTTTCAGTTAGACAGGCGGAGTAAGTTTGAGTGATCTATAGCATGCATGGTGACAGTAGTTAATAATAATGCATATTTCAGAATTGCTGAAAGAGTAGGTATTAAGTGTTCTCACCACAAAGAAACAAGTTGTGAAGTGACAGATATGTTAATTGGCTTGATTTAATCATTCTGCAGTGTATGCCTGTAACATTACATTGTACCCAGAAATATATACAATTATTATTTGTCAAAAATAAAAGTAAATTTAAATAAAAATAGATAAAAATGTATTTGTCTTATATCAGCAATATTTGTTAATGGGCCCTGAGCCTAAAACCAGATTAAAACCCGGAATTATGCAGGTACTTTACCTGCTGCCATGCAGGTTACACTAAAGAGGCTGGGTGAAGTGGAGCTACTAACCAGTATATATCTAGCTCTGTTGACCCAGTGTTGTCCTGGTGTATTTGTAGAGAACCTAGCTGGTAAGCCAGCCCTGCAAGTCCCCAGTTCTCGAGCTGCTGCCCCAAGGCCTCCAGTGTCTACAGCCAGTGGGCGTCCTCAAGATGATACAGACAGCAGCCGGGCCTCACTCCCAGAACTGCCCCGGATGCAGAGACCTTCTTTACCGGACCTCTCTCGGCCCAATACCACCAGCAGTACGGGCATGAAGCACAGCTCCTCTGCCCCTCCCCCACCACCCCCAGGGCGGCGTGCCAACGCACCCCCTACACCTCTGCCTATGCACAGCAACAAAGCCCCAGCCTACAACAGAGAGAAACCCTTGCCACCGACGCCTGGACAGAGGCTTCACCCTGGTCGAGATGGACCTCCTGCTCCACCCCCAGTCAAACCACCTCCTTCCCCTGTGAATATCAGAACGGGACCAAGTGGCCAGTCTCTGGCCCCTCCTCCACCGCCTTACCGCCAGCCTCCTGGGGTCCCCAATGGACCCTCCAGTCCCACTAATGAGTCAGCCCCTGAGCTGCCACAGAGACACAATTCTTTGCATAGGAAGACACCAGGACCTGTCAGAGGCCTAGCGCCTCCTCCACCCACTTCAGCTTCCCCCTCTTTACTGAGTAATAGGCCACCTCCCCCAGCCCGAGACCCTCCCAGTCGGGGAGCAGGTAAGTGTTTGGAAGCACCTTTTTTTCCTTTCTTGATGTGAGTTGAATTTATCTTTTCTTTTCAGCCTCTTCCCCAAAACACCCCGTCAGTGACTGAAGACAATAAGAATTCATTTATTTATTCAGTTGTTTTACTGAGTGCCTTTTTATGTGTCTGACTCTGTTCTTAAGGAAATAGCAATAAATAGAGAAGACAAAAGCTTCGTGTTCTGGACAGTCCGACAAATAAACTAGCAAAATATTTAAATACATAGTATGTAGTATGCTTTAGAGAAATACAAAGAACAGCAAAGGAATAAGATATACTGGAGTGGGGGTAGTATGGTGATATTTTAAATTGGAGGGAGCGGGTAGAGTCAGGAAAGTCTTTACTGATAGGGTGATTATTTGGCAAAGACTTGAAGTCACGGGGAGAATAGCTATTGCAGGCAGTAGGAATAACAAATGCAAAAGGTCCTGAGGCAGAATTACTCTTGAGAGGTCTTTTTGGGGAAAGCAGTAGGGCTGTGGTGGCAGGACTAGAACAAGTGAGGGGCAGAGTGGCAGGACATGGAAGTCAAAAAGCTAGATCTCTAAGGGAGAACGTTGTAGGACTTTGCAAAGACTTTGGGTTTAACTCTGTGTCAGATGGGCAGCCACTAGACAGTTTTGAACAGAGAGGTAGCGTGATTTGATTTACCTCTTTAAAAGACCACTAGCTTCTGTGTTGAGAGCAGACTGCAGGAGGACCATAGTGGCAAAAGGAGCCTGCATAAGAGGCTATTGCAATAAACTGGGCAGATGGTTAAGACTGCAGCAAGTTTGGGAGAAGATAGTTGTTTGGTTTTAGACAAGTTAAGTTTGGGATGCCTGTTAGACATTGAAGAGGAGTTAATGAATTGGTGATGGGCTATCAAACCTCTGAAGTTCAGGGGAGAGGTCTGGGCTAAAGGGAGATATTTGAATGGTATGGAAAGCCTCATGCTGGATGAACTCACCTAGGGAGTGAGGATAGCTAGGAAGAGGCCTGAGGCCTGGGGCCCTCCTACGTTACAGGCAAGAGAGATGAAGAGTACCCAGCAGAGGAAACTGAGAAGAGCCTCTAGTGAGGAAGGAAGGAGAAAAACCAAGAGAGTGTTGGAAAAACTCCAAGGTAGAATGAGTGATCAGCTGTGTTCAGTGCTGCAGATGGGTGAAGTAAGTTGAAGACTGAGGACTGACACATTGGTCTTAGTAACATGGGACCCTTTTTGAGTAGTTTCAGTGAGTGGTAGATGGTGAAGGTGAAAGCTAAATTGAGGCAGGGTGCGGTGGCTCACGCCTGTTATCCTAGCACTCTGAGAGGCCTAGGCAGGAGGATTGCTTGAGCTCAGGAGTTCGAGACCAGCCTGAGCAAGCACAAGACCCTATCTCTAAAAAAAAAAAAAAAAAAGAGAAAGCTAAATTGGAGTGCGTTCAAGAATACAGGAATAGGAGGAGAGGAATTAGTGATATCTGTGTAGAAATCTCTTAAGGAGTTTGCTGTAAAGGGTGAGGGGTGAAGATAAATGGAATGGTTGCTAGAGGAGGCTGTGGGGTTGAGACTTGAGGTTTGGGATATCCAGTTTGGGATATCTATTTGTATTCTGATGGAATGAGTAGCATGAAACCAGTGGAGAGGGAAAAAATTTAATTGGGAGAGAGGGAACAAATTGTAATATCCTTGAGGAGGCAAGAGAAGATAGAGTCTGGTCCATAGGTAAGGGACTGGCCTTATATGGGAACATGGATAGTTCTTCCATGGCAACAGGAGGGAAGGCAGAGCAAATGGGCATAGAAGCAAGTGGGTAGGTGGGTGTAGTGGTAGGATGGTAGGAGCATGTGGAAAGTTTCTTCTAATTTGCTTCTGTTTTCTTGGTGAGGTAGAAAGCAAGAACATCAGCTGTGAATGGGGTGAGGGAAGGAGAAGGAGACGTGAGGAGAGAGAAAAGGCATAAAATGGTCATCTGGAGCGTGGGAGAGTGAATGGACTAGGGAAACGTGTGCTTGGATAGCCAACCACACGAAAGGCCCACTTGAGATTAGGGGCATACATTTCAAGTGAGATTAATCATCATGGTACGTGTTTGTAGCAGAATAAGGGTGGGGTTGTATAATATTTAACCAGCCTTAGCATTTTTAAGGCATGCGTGACTATAAGGGCGAGTGGGGCAGGGAGTGAAGGGTGTATGTAGGGAATGATTGTGATAATGGGCCAGGGAGCTTATGCTGGGTGAGAAGGGAATTAAGTAACCCTAGAAAAGGTAAAAGAGGTAGTGTGATCTTTTTACAAAATAGCACGAATGACATGTGAGAGGAGAGGAGCCCAGGACTACTCTTTGGGGCCTTATTGGGCCTGGGAATTTTGGCTCTCATACCCTTGTATTGCTGGACTTTGAGCCACACACTCCACAAGTGGCTTTTTGAGCTTTTATTTTAAAGTCAGTCTCTACAGGTATAGAACATTGATGAAGAAGTTATATTGTCTAGAAATAGATATTAAAAACCCATTAGTCTGTGCTGCTGCTTGGTTAGGTACATACAGATTTGCAGTATAGAAGCTGGCAGTCTAACATGGGGTAGTCAAGCAGTAGCTTCATACATTCCTGACCCCATATCTCCCTAGCTTTAGCCATAAGGAGATAATCCTAAGGTGGTCCTTGATTCTATAAAGTTCAAATTAAAAAAAATGTTTTTAAACCCTTTATTTGAGCAAAGCTCATGTCTTTCTAACCTCATCCAGAAATAGAAGCAGAGAAAAATGCAATTTCTGTAGGTTGAACTGAGTAGTTTTAAGTGTCTGCAGACTTCTTGCTTCCCACTTCTTAGTTCCTTTCTCTGTGGTTTCTTTAGAAAATTTTGAAGTTACGAGCCTTGTTCTTCTGTGCATTAGCCATCACCAACTTTGAGGCCTGGCAGAGGCCTCCACTTGCTTTCCTTATCAGTAACCAGAGCAACAGTTCTTAAGAAAGATACACTGGAGAAAAATTAAGATAGTTTAGTCAGAGATCATTTGAGTAGTGGCTTTATTTGCTCTATGACACTGGGCAGATCACTGATTGTCTGAGTTTCCTCATCTGTAAAATGGAAGTACATGTGAAAGTGTAGTGTGCTGATGAATGTTACTGGTTTTATGTAGAGGGCTTCAGGTAGTTCATGAACTTATCTCTATTATTAAATCATTTTATAGTAATATTACGTGATAATGTACTTTTGTCTCTGTGAATTATTTACATTTGAAAGGGTTGGCGTCTTTTGCCTTCCCAGGGTGGTCAGAGACCCAAAAAAGCAGTGTTATTCATCCATAGAGTTTGTTTCCAAGATTTTTCTTTTGCCTGAGTAAAACAATTTTTTTCCATTTTTAAGGTTATTTTTTTACAAAAAGAATTGATACCATCATGCTTTCCTCAAAATTGGGATTATATTGGATTACAAAAGGCAGTCTCCCACCCTAGGGCTTCTTTTGCAAATGGATTGTTTTTTAGGGACCAGGGATCTGGCTCTGTCACTTGAAACAGTCTTAAAACTGGATCTGGCAAAGAGCGCAGAAGGTTATTGGAGGTAGTGGAACCTGGTGGGGATGACCCTCCCTGAGGCAGAGAGCTGGAAGAGCCAAGCAGGTTGCTCTTGTCCTGCTCTGTTTTACCAGTTCAGATTGGCTTTTGTCACTGTCACCTGCCCAGTATCTAGCTGCTATCCTCGTGAACTTAACTAACCCTGTCTACCTTACTTCCTGGCCATGGCCTAGAAGTAGATACAGATTCTCAGGGCCCTGAGGAATCTGGGTTTTAGGGAATATTTTGAGGGTGACCTGAAAGACCTTTAGTCTGGGCAGGTTTGGAATGAAAACAAGGCTCAGAGATCTGCTGGGAGGTGTTAAGGAGATTTATTTTTAATTACTGCATCCAGTGGCCCCTGTTCATAATATGTAAACAGACCTTGAAAAGAGGAGAGTTGACATTGGGAGTTTCTTATGGGAAGCAAAAACTAACATTTATGGGGTCCACTGTGCGGGAAGTTTGTGTGTACATACATGATCCCATTACTGTGTTACTTGCTCAACTATGGTCACGCTACAAAAATTCTGACAGGAATTCAGGAGGAATAATAAGATATGCTTTTACTACTAAAACAAGATTGTTAAACCAAGTAGTCTCTCCATGTACTATTTAGGTAACAACTATTTATTAAATGTGGCCTAGGTACCAGAAGACACACTTCCAACTCACTGGATTGTAGATCTAGTTGGGGGGATGAGATACATACAACTTAAGGTAGTTATGAAAAGCAGTTACGGGGGTAGCGGAAAGAGCAGACATGTGCTTAGTGTATTTTTATTAGATCTGTGACCCTAGACAACTTGAGTACCATTTTCCTCATTTATGAAATGGGGATGACAATACATACTTTCCTAGGGTGGCTGTAAGAATTTTTAAAGATGTAGTGCATATGAAATGCCTGGAACATAAGGGACTCCCAATAAATGGTAGCTGCTATTGTTGTTAATAGTTTAATGCAGAGCATAGGAGTAATACAGCTTAAACACATCTATTCCAGTGATGTTGCCATTTGTTCAGACATGCTTCTGACATTAACTTGGTGGCTAATCTTTGTCTTTTAAGGGCAAATTTCATTTTTGAAAATGGCCAAAAAACAGAGTCAGACACAAGTATGAATATTTTCATTGTTGGTGGTGAGGCAACTTTACAAATGAAATGGGACCATCATATAATGATATTTATGGCTCTGTCTCATAACCTGGCTTTGGAGGCAGTTCTAGAAGAGATATTTGAAATTTTTTTTTTTTTTTTTTTTTGAGACAGAGTCTCACTCTGTTGCCCGGGCTAGAGTGCCGTGGCATCAGCCTAGCTCACAGCAACCTCAAACT